GAGATCATGTGACATTTATCTTCTCTGACTTATTTCGCTTAGCATAATGCTCTCCAGCTCCATCCATGCTGTTGCAAATGGTAGGAGTTCCTTCCTTTCTACAGCAGCATAGTATTCCATTGTGTAGATGTACCACAGTTTTTTAATCCACTTATCTGCTGATACATGTCTAATTCTTCACCTAGATTATGGACACCCTGAGAATGAGTCCCACAAGGGCAGGCTAGAAGGGGTCAAAGTTACCATCTCATGGTATCTATATACTCTTAATTAATCTAACCTTACATTTAAAATAAATTTTGTACAAAAATCATGTAACTTTAATCCTCACCCCCCAAAAATGTTCAATTTTTCAAGGAGATATACCAACAATATGTGATACTTTCAACAATAAAGATTTAATTAAAGAAAAAAGAATGAGTCCAAATCATCCTTATATCATAAGCCTAATGCAGTGCCTAATAAAAGTACTCACTAGCTTTAAGTAAATGAATAGCAGAAAAGTATTTTGCAGGGGAACATGATATACTGGGGAAAAAACACCACTGCCGCTGGGCAAGGGGACTCAATTACCCATTTCCACTTAAATAAGTTTATGTTAATATTAGTACAATGCTGTTTATATTATTAGGATTCCCTATAAGATTTCATTCAGGGGGAAAAAAGTGCTCTGCCACTAAAAGAGTTAGAAAACCAATGTCATAGCAGATGCCAAATTTTTAATTTCATGAACTGGTATAATTAAAAGAACATATCAGCACCAAAAATATAGAGTCTCAGAATAAACAACAGCTTTTAAAATTGAATTTTAAAGTTACATTTAGCTTTGGAAAATACTTTTTACACTGTCCTGTTTTAGTTTTCCTATTTGACCTGATCTTGAAATCTCATCACAGACCAGCAATATAACAATCTATATATATAAACAGCTAATATGCTAAATGTCTGACCATCTGACCGGTTGCTATGATGCACTCTGAACACCAGCGGGTAGATGCTCAACACAGGAGCTGGCCATTTACAGAGAAACGGCACTGCGGACCTGGCACTGACAAAGCAACACTCGGCTTCCCCCAAGTGGGACACAGGCCCCGCCACCATCCCAGAGCGACAGCCCACCAAATGCAGCCAACGCTGCCAAGACCCCATGGCGCAAAATGTGGCCCACAGCCCAGTCCAGCCCAGAAACGTGGCTGTGGGCACCAATCACGACTTGCTTTATAGCCAGGTGCAAACATTTTACACTTTAACCAAATGTCTGTGAAGTGTTTTCCCATGCCTCATCTCATTTGATCCTCACAGATGTCCTGAAGTAGGTAGATAGGAGACTCGGTGGAATCCTAATTTATTTTCATTAGCGGGAAAACAGAAATTTAGAAAGCTTAGCAACCTGACCCGACTGAAAAGAAATGGTGGACCACAAAAATGACCTCAGGTTTTCTCACTGCACAGAATATAGTCAAACACTGATGCAGTTAAATATTTTACCCTTTGTTCTCCCTGCATGATCTACAATGATAATCTGCTTTGTATTGCTGACAATTACCTGAAAGAGAAGTTGGGGTTCTTCACTGGGCTAGAAAACGTTTACCTAATTAGAAAGTAGGTCTAAGTAAGCAAGTTATACTATATGTATAAAAGCTAAGTTGACTCGTGCATGCATGATATATATAAAGCTTTCGCTGGTGCCAATCGCACACATGTGTTTCAATCTGTCATTATCGAGCGTGAATTTGGTTGACACTTCTATTACAGAGAAAGGGCGAATAGCGATCTTAAAATATTTCTTCTAATTAATTTCCTTAGTTAACCAATAAAGCTCTTTTAAAAATACAGAGTTCTGAACCTAACCTCTGGAATGTTCAATTTGGTAGATCTGGGATAGGTCTCCGAAATCTGTAGTTTTTAAAAGCTCTTAAAAGCTCACTAGATGATTCTCACGAACATCTAGGTTTAGAAAATACTGATTTAGTTATCTTCTTCCAAAGGAATAATTGAAATATTGTTTCTGTTGCTATCATTAGCAACATGATAAGAGCATGGATCTCTATTTGATTCTTATGATATACATATATAGTCTTATAAAAACATAGGTATATATTGAAATGCTGTTGCTCTTTCTTCCCTTCCTTCCTCCCTGTTTATCTATCTCCATGATCACTTATTCACAATTCCAAAATTCAAAAAGTTCTGAAAATTGAAAGTTATACATAATACCTGGTAGCAAAACATGACCTAACTAGAAAAATTTGATGACAAATCTTGATCTCAACAAGTATTAGTCTTTAATTTACCACACGTTTCAGTGTAGAAATGTGTGATTATGATTCCCGAAGCAACCAAAATATAATGCAATATATGGAATATGTGCCTTATTGGCATTCTGAAATATAAATAAGTATAATTTTGATTTGAATATTAAAACAAATGGCAACTCAAATCAAAAACCTGTTTCCCTGTATATGGCAATTTTCTCAATTACCCATTATATGGAATGGCTATTGTTTAAAATGTTCACACCTTGCCCTAGCCAGTTTGGTTCAATGGATAGAGTGTTAGCCTGAGGACTGAAGGGTCCCGGGTTTGATTCCAGTCAAGGGCACATGCCTGGGTTGCTGTCTCGATCCCCAGTCGGGGGCATACTGGAGGCAGCCGATAACTGATTCCCTCTCATCATTGATGTTTCCATCTCTCTTTCTCTCACCCTTCCTCTCTGAAATCAATAAAAATATATTTTAAATAAATAAATAAATAAATAAATAAATAAAATGTTCACACCTTAAAAGTACCTAAGAATGAGGAATAAGGCAATTTAAAATATTTTTATTGATTTTTTACAGAGAGGAAGGGAGAGGGATAGAGAGTTAGAAACATCAATGAGAAACATCGATCAGCTGCCTACTGCACACCCCCACACCGGGGATGTGCCCGCAACCAAGGTACATGCCCTTGACCGGAATCGAACCTGGGACCCTTCAGTCCACAGGCCGACGCTCTAACCACTGAGCCAAACCGGTTAGGGCGAGACAATTTTTAAATGTTCCTTTTTGGAAAAGAGCTGTGTGTAACCAGTTACTTTCTTGCACAAATTATATGTTCCTACCAGGAATATTTTCTTTTTGAAAATATATGGGGCTTAATAAATATACTTATAAAACACCTATATGAACATGTTATGACAAATAAATTTGGTCATTCCATTGAGTTTTTTAAAGTGTGATTTAATCTAATCCACCAAGATAAACTCAGTGTATTTTAACTGTCCAAACACAGAAGTCGCAATTATCATACTAACTCAATTGTTAGCACATTTAATCTTCTTATATACTGCATTAAATATAGGCAACAAATAAATATTACTCAAGTTTCAGTTCAAGTTATTTATTTATGAAAGACAGGTCTGAGTCAGTATGTAATTTCCTCCTCTATACGACAAGAAAAAGGTCTGGAATCTACAAAATGGAACCAAGAGAAGTAACTATTAACAGATTATAAGAGTCAAGTTACACCTCCTCACTTCTTCTGACAGACTGAAGGGTAGTTAATAGTTCATTTTTAAGGTTTAAACTATTGATAACAGTACTTTTAATTTGATCAGACATACATACATTTCAGCAAAAGAATTAGTAACCAATTATCTTGTTATTGGAAATCACATAGGGTAGGCTTAGGTAGAGAAAAATTAATTTTAAAAATTAATTAATTTAGAGCTATTACCTCAAATCCTTCCAAAAGTTCTGGGGAAAGAGATAGCAATTAGTACTCTATTTCTTAATATTTAACAGCATGTTCAAAACTTTACGATTTAGTATGCCCTTCCATTTCATTTTATTTCATAACAGCCTTATAAGGTTGACAGGTTGGTTAGTATGTTTACAGATGAGTCAACTTTGCCTGCAGAGGCTATATGGCTCCCTCTAACTCTTATGTTTCTTAAGAGGCAAAACTGGGATTAGAAACTGATCTTCTGACTTAGTCCAGTGATCTTTACTTTATGATACTGCTTTAAAAAATCCTTTAATAGGGCTACACTTTCATAAATTATATCCTTTAAAGAGCAGTGATAACTGGGTCTTTTAGTCATCTACTCTGTTCATAAAATGACCTATTCTGCACCTCCTCACACTTTATTCTTGGTTTATCTTAGACAGTTCAGCCCAGTATGTGTTATCAATATTCCCAGTATGACTTATATAATGTAATCCTCTCACCAAAAGTCTTTCTATACGTATTTCAGACTTACAAACTAATGAAGGCAAAGAGCTTTAAAATGAGCTATCAAACAAATACTACTATTAACATTTTGTCATTTTGCCAAGTTTCATTCAATGGCAAGATACCAACTTATTCTATTTTCTATAATGCGAACTCCTGGAAAAAGGGAGGAATTACAACGACATGGAAAACCTGTGATGGTATTTCAGTTGTGAAAAGCAATTTCATCCTTCTTTAAATCAGGGTTTCACACAGCTTGGTTCCTAATCCCCTTGCTTCAGTGGGAATGCAGGTACAACTTATGAATTTTTATAGCTTTAGGTAATAATTATTTCCCTCATATGCTAAATCAGATTACTAACACACACACTCAACTGACTTTGAAGGGCTGATATTAAGCACTTTACCTTATCAGTCACCTCCATTCAGAAAAAGGAAGAAATTCCATAGAAGCTACTACATTCAAAACCTAAACCTTCGCCCAAACCTCTGGCAAACTTCGGATTTATTTCTAAAAAGTGGGTAGATCCACTGAAAGAACAGGTGACAGAAGCCCTCAACGAAGGAGGATTCAAGCTCAAGAATGTTCTCAAACCAGTCCAGCGACTCAATTCCAAGTGCCCTGATTGTAGGATGGCCACGGCTACCAGAAGACAGTAACAAAAAAAAAAGCGGCCGGCGCTTACCCCGCCCTTCTGCAACTCGACCTAAAAGATCACGCCACGGAGCTCTTCCCCGGGCTTCAGCCCCTGCCCTTTTCCCCCTCCCCGCTCCTCCCTTTAGACTCTCCATGTTCGACATGGTCCCGCGACCTTTCTTAGGAGATGACAGCCCGGACAGCGGCACGGGTTTGATGTGAGGGCGATTAGAATTTCGTACAGGTCGCGACCTGCCGCTGGTCTGGCATTTAGATTCGAGATCCCACTTCCTGTTTCTGCGCAATGCCCACTGGGAGGCGGAGCTGTGCGCGCACCTGGGGCGGAGCTGGGGTTACGCCAAAATGGCTGCCACCGATGAGGCGGCTGAGGTGGCTGCCGTCGCTGGGGGGCGTGGCAACTCACCGGCGGCGGTTACGCCCCTCCCCCTCTGGTACCTCAGAAAAACGGTCTCCGCCGCTCAGCCAACCTAGTTCCGAGCTCTTCTTAACCTTGCGCCCACCTCTTCCCTCTGATTTCATACTAGCTTTGGCCCCTCAGTTCTGTTCTCAGAGCTTAAATCTTACGGATGAAGGAAAAAGGTATTAGGGCTTTTAAGTACTTTTTTTTAAAAAAAAGCGGTAATCATATGAAATACGAACGTAAGGGATAGCGGGGTTGGCAGTTTTGAAATGTGATGTGCGTTCAGTTGAAGTTTTGAAAAGGATCGTGATCCTTAAACTTTTAGGGCAGGACAAAAAAGTAAACTTAGTTTTAAGAGGTAAAGTTGCTGTGAGACATATATTCGTAACAAATTAATTATTTTTTTACAATAGATGGTGTAAAATATGAAAATTACTACTAAATATCTCTATAGTTGACAGGAAGGTTAATCGAAATACTAAATAGCAGTTGGTAGTTTATCTGTGACTCATTAAAACGACCAAATGTAATTTATATGACGCCATCTCTAGATTTATAGTAAGGAAGGGGATCTTTGACGCGCTTCAGAATTCTTGGAAAGTCCAAGGAAGAGCTAAGAGATATTACTTTGGGGAAAATAGCTAGGATAATTATTCTCTTACTGAGGAATTTTATCAATTTGGCATTAAAAGTATCCTAATCTTTTAAATTTCAGTATGTGGGAACAATAATGTGCTGAGCTTCTTTTTATCTTTAGGAAAGTTTCCTATTAAATCAAAGTAGTTCCAAAAGCTACTGCTCTACTTTTCTGTTAATAATATTGGTAGGATTCAGAATATTACCTAATTACTAACCCTTGATGCTGGAAAAAACCTTTTTAAATATAAGGTTAATCTGGAAACCACTTCCATAGAAGAAACAGTACTGTAAAAATATTGTTTTTATTTTTTATCTCTTTGTGTAAATAGGTATTTGGAAGTAAGATATGTTTCCAACGCGACAGACAAAACTTGGTAGATTTCATTGCTTCATCACTTTCCATGCTAACCAGTGTATTTCACCGTTTGAGAACTATTTTTTGGTATAAAGGTAAAAAAAAATGTTTTTTTTAGAAGTTATACCCTAGGAGCTTAATATTTATTAACACAGCTCTTTGAATAAATACACATGTAGACCAGAACAATTCACTAAAGCTTAAGTATTTCCAGGTTTTATGTAAAGATTTTGTTGTTATAATTAGGTAACCAATAAGAACAAGGCTTTTAAAATATTTTAAAGTGTTTTGCATATTGTTGAATTTCTTAAGAGATGTTTCCTTAGGGATAGGATTAGCTTTTTAGTAAAATCAAGATATGAAGATATTTTTTCAGTTAGGAAATTTGTTACTTATGCCCATCTTAAGTGAAAAATATGTATACATAGCCTTTATCTTAAAAGATTAAGAAGTTTTACATTTATGAGTTCTGAACTAATTTTGACTCCAAAAATTGCTTTAATTTTTATTGGATATCTTATTTCTAAAAGTTAGATTTAGATTTTTATCTTAGGCATAGTAATAAAACTAAAATAATGTATATTCTTTTTTTTTGCTTTTTACTTTATTTTTTTATTGTTTTATTGCTTAAAGTATTACAAACGGTATTACATATGTGTCCTCACCCCCCCCACCTGCCCTTGACAATCCCCCGTCCTCCCCTACCCCCCAGTGTCTTATGTCCCTTGGTTATGCTTATATGCACGCATACAAGTCCCTTTTTTAGCTGCTGCTGATGAAAACAATGAATTGAAATTTGTTAAAAATCATAAAGTTGTTTTATTATAAGAAAGTGTAAAAGGAAAGACATCAAATTTTGTTTTGTTAAATATTGAAGACCTATAAAATAATATTTGCAAATTATGAGTACAGAATAAACAAATGCAATAAAGCTGTGGAATACAGCAATCACCTGTGACCTGTCACCCAATTTAAGAAAAGAAAATGAGCATTCCCTTTAAATTCCCTTGTGTACCCCTTTTCCTAATCATATTCTTTTCCTTCCCTGTTTAGAGGCAATGCTGTCTCAAATTCCTGTTTTTCTTTATTGTTTACCATAGTATTTGCATCCCTAAATATTACGTTATTTAGTGTTGCATGTTTTTGAACTTGTGCAAATGAAATCATATTGCTTTTTCTTCTTGGCTTGCCTTTGTAACTCATTATGATTCTCTTTATCTATGTTGTTACATATAACCATAGTTCATTCATTTTCACTGCTCTAAAGTATCCCACTGTATGAATATATCATAATTTATTCATCCATTCTCCTGATGGATATTTGGGCTAATATCCAGGTTAATATAGTCTCTAAGACTATATTAATAATTGTTATTATTATATGCTCTGATTACACACTTAAGATCAATAGCTTTAGTCTCTTAAACAGGTTAGGATGAAATCTGGAAATTTATTCAAATTTCTTATTGTTTTGGGTTATCCTGGACCTTAGCTTTGTTTCTTCCACTCTACCAGATTTAGTAATAATACCTACCCTGTCTCACCTAACAGGCAACTACAGTAGTTTCTTCTCCTTTCACCTTTATAACAGAGCTATAATGATAAAGACGATAGGTATAGGACCTCCCAAATTGTTATTTGGGGACTTAGCTAAATTTAAACATGAAGGTTTAACTGAAGAAACATCAGTCACATATTTATAAACTCAGATCACCTATGGATACTTACAAAGATGTGCTTCAAATACTTGTGAAGTTTTACTGGAATAATTGAAATGTAAAGAAACAATGCAGTATCTTAACTCAGCAACTACTGAATATGCTAATGTTTGGCATGAATGAAGTTAATGTGGTAAATTATAATAATTCCCCCAGGAAATTGAGTTATTTTCATGATTAATGATTCTTAGTTATCTAAATAATTTGTAACCTACTGTGTTACACATAAAGAACGTTGCTTTTTAAAGTTAAAAACATTTATAAAACAATTGCAATTGAAATATAAATTAATTTTTAATTTGCGTTTTATGACAATACAAGATTTTTGTTACTTTTAGCAAATTATTTCAAGATGATTAGAAATTTAAATGGTATATAACAGTTAAACTTCCACTGACATAGGAAGGAGCACACCAGAAATGCAAATGGTGTAGTATTATATAGTATTTGTCAAGTTGTTAAAAATAGACAGGGGTTGCCTCGCCTCTATAGATTCTGATAGCATAAGTTTGGAATTGAGCCCAGATGTCTATATATTGCCTCTGTTTGTGTAATTGAAATGAACATTCTAATATACAGTAATATAAATCCTAAATTGCCTAATGTAGCTCAATTTGGATGGAATTTCATAGTTTACAAAATACTTCTTTTTAAAAATATATATATTTTATTGATTTTTTACAGAGAAGAAGGGAGAGAGAGATAGAGAGTTAGAAACATCAATGAGAGAGAAACATTGATCAGCTGCCTCCTGCACATCTCCTACTGGGGATGTGCCCGCAACCCAGGTACATGCCCTTGACCGGAATCGAACCTGGGACCTTTCAGTCCGCAGGCCAACGCTCTATCCACTGAGCCAAACCGGTTTCGGCTACAAAATACTTCTTATACTTGAAGTAACCTGAGGCAGCCTGGGTAGGCTTTATCCTCCTTTTCCAATTAAAAAAAAAAAAAGGGAAAAAACAAAGCACAAGTAAATAATAATTTGCTCAGGCAAGTTTGAGGAAATGGAGTCTATATTCAATTCAGACCTCCTTGATTCCTAATCCAGTACTTTTAAATGTGTATAGCAGATTGGTAAGGAGGAATCATAAATAAGGCCACTTCTGCTTCTTGCTTTCTATAGCTCAGGTGCCCATCTACACTAATAATAGGAAAATATGTAAATTTACTATACCTCCACGATGCCCATAGCCAATGAGGAGGGGATATGCAAATTACAGGACAAAGATGGAAGTGGCCATGGAGCCACCTGGAGCAGGCGGGAGGCTTGGGTCGCCAGGGCTGGCCCAATCTTCCAGCCCACCCTGGTCAGCTGCTGAAGAAGGGGTCCTGTGGGCAGTGGCCACAGAGCCAGCCTGAGCGGGAGGCGTGGGTTGCCCAGGCCGGCTGCCGGGCCTGCAA